AGTTATTATAAAATGTTCCAAGGTTACTAAAGAAAAATAGTCAATATACAGTATGCTTTTATTAAACTGTACACTGACACAGATATGAGGTATAACAACAGACCAGCATTTTTTTTTTCTTATGCTAGTTTGCTGATATCATAAATTTATAATATCCTATGACCTCATGATTTAATACACGATATCTGCTCAGCTGTCAAAACTATAGGCCACATAAAGCTCAGTCCTGATTATAACATTTTCTTTGACAACAAACTGGTTGTATGACCAGTCATGATGTGCCTATCCTGATATGCCATCATAACCATATTAGGTATGTCACAAGTTTCTGTCCAATAAAATTTGATAGTCCAAACTGGGATTAAGCCCTGGAATTTATGTTAAGCCAATATTGAATCACTCAAACATACAAGCACAAGTATCACTCTTTTTTATAAGACATATAATAAGAACACAAAGGTGAAAACTGCTATAAGAATACATACAGTACAAAGGCTTTAACTATGCAGCCGTTCCAATAAAACAACACAATTTGTTAAAACATGGTTTAAAAACAGTTTATGTACAGTTGTTTAATTGTTAGGTCAGGTGCAATTTTAATTCAGCATGTGTTAGTCATCACCAGAAAACCCAGGCTAACATACAATAGAGAAGAAAAATTTAAAATGTCAAATCAAAACAATGTATACTGCACAAAAATATAATAACAGTGTATGCTGTTGTTTTGCCATGGGATGGCCGCATATGAAGTGGATGTTTTTTTGGAGATTTGTGTTTAGAATCTGAACCATATTTGAACATAGTTAATCGTAAATCAATTTCAGTAAAGTACTTTTCAGCATTTTTTAGCCATCACCAGACAACCCAGGCAAACATACAATAGAGAAGAAAAAGCCGCAGCCACTCCAAGACATGAGACACTTGTGCTACCTATTCTGCTGAAAATGATTAGGGACTTGAACTACCATTTACCAAAATCCAGTGTCGGTTGAACTACTATTATTTTATGGCCATGTAACATAACAAATTAAACTTGTTGTGGTTCCCGATGACGAACAAGACCGCAGCTATGTCCGTTCGTGATCTCTACTGTAGGCTAGGCACAGAGTTTAGCAAAAAGCTTCGCTAAAATCGTGTGAAAAATTATACAGCTTTGATGATACAGGACAGGGCAGGGACTTAAAATACCAATTTTACCTGGTATTTTCCACACTTGTGCTACCAAGTCCTCGCAAATATACCCTATACATGCTGAAACTCTTCCATATATTTCCATACTTGGGCTACCAATTCCTCAAAAATACCCCCATAAATGCTTCACCTACCAGTATAGAAATATTTAAGAGTGAACCCCACGGGGTTACCCAGCAGGATCAATTGCTTTTCCAGGCAAACATACAATTCACTTTTTGTTTTTTATAAGAACCAGTAAAATTTTGCCCAGGCTCAGTGTTCTTATTTTTTGACTGATTTCAGGCTCAATTTTTCTTAATAAAAATTTCATTTGACATTTTACCTGAGCCTGAATTTGTTCTTATTTTGTTCTTAATTTTTAAGCAATTTCAGCCTCATTGTTCTTATAAAGTGTGTTCTTATAAAAAAAAAAAAGTGTAGAGAAGAAAAATTAAAAAATTTTTAAATCACAGATCTGTTCCAAGTGCCACAGATCCTAAAGGATCACGCACTTACAATGAACTAGGACAAACTCATTAACTGCAACTTTCTACTCTACAGAAGGTAGTATTGTGTCTTTTCCTGCCAATTGGTGCATGTGTGTTTTATATCAGAGACTGGATGGAACACTAGGGTATCCTCCCTATGTATTTCTCAAAGAATGTCTAGAAGGTTTACAGTGGGCATAGTCTATAGTCTTGGTTTTACCATGTTTTTACATAAACCAAGAGCAAGAAAGAGGTTTTTGAACCACCAAAGAAAGGCTCTAGGTTTTGGGCAACCCTATATTATATTTTTCTTATTTTATAGTTGATTTCAGGCTCAAAATGTTCCTATTTTGTTCTTACTGTACATGTTCTTTTCAAACATGGAAAATTATCATTTTGCAATACTGTAAGTTATATGTATTACTTTACTATATTATAGACATGTATGTAGTCACACCTACTGCAAATAAGGTAGGCAGATTTGTTGGTTTTTTTCTTTTTTTGAAATACAAAAAACCTCATTTACCTCAGCCTCAATTTGTTCTTATTTTGTTCTTAATTTTTTACTGATTTCAGCCTCGGTGTTCTTAAAAAAAAGTGTATATTTACAGGGTTTCACTGTAGTTATTATTGTAGCAGCAAAGCATAATACACGATATTACTTTTAGCAGATTTTGACAATGATAGTTCAAACAATATTAAAATTCTGTTATGCGCCCCTTGTGTAAACACTCTACTAAAACAAATTGAGTGAAACCTTGCAGCATCGACAGTAGGTAGTTTAAATATTAAGAACTCTAAATGACTGTGTAAAATACTTCCAAAATTTGACAGATTTATGATTTTTTTTAGAAAACAATGTACTTATTAAGCATCTAAGTGAGTGAAGATGTTACAGTACTTAGATGAGGTGACAATTCAATGTTAAATGAGTCCCTAAGTGTGTGAAATAAATAATAATGAGATTGCAAAATCTGACAGATTGCCACATGCAAATGTGATGTCATCGTGATGGATGTGTTCATACAGAGGACCATTTGAAAGTCAACTGTAAAACCACATAAATCAATGATTGATGTTCGTGCGGAGGTGTAACCTGCTTGCTAAAGCTATTTGCATGGACAGTATTATCCTCATGACGCTGATGATGTCAAAATAAATATAAAATTGGAAGATCTAATGTCTAAATTAAGTTTAATTTGCTTCAAACAGCCAATACACTGTATTGCAAATATTGTGCACCCAAAAGTTTATAATTAGACATAGCATTCACAAAAGCAAAGCATAACTTGCAAATCTAACATTCTTATTGAATGGCATAATGTAGTTTTCCAAGAACTTTATGGTCACATTTTGAAAGGCCATTCTAGGCAATACTCAGGTTTTTGAGTACCAAACTTCAAATACATTAAGTTGCTTCCTTCACATTTCTATTTGAATTGAGAGTGCACTACATGAATGCAAGTGCATGAATGAGAGGACACTACAACCTGCAGTCATCTGAACATGCTCAGTTCAAGATAAAATTCCTCAAAGCAATTAAATGTTCAGTCCTTTAATAACTAGATTCCAATGTATTAATAAATATAAATACTAATATAGCATAGTGCAAACAGATACATCTTTAATATTAATAATTATATGCTGTAGGCCTAACTCTACACAAAATGTACAGATTCATCACTCATTTGTCCTTTATACTCTATAGAATTAAAAAACAAAATCTAATTTCGATTTGGTGTATGGTGCTTTACTAGAATAACCAGCAGTACAGGTTCAACCAAAAAATGTTATCACCATATTTGTATTATGATATTAAATTATTATTTTATATTGCGCTTTATAAGTAGGGTCAGCCAAATTTGGAATGATTCAATATTCTGCAATCGGAACAAAAATAGCATTCCCCGGTAGTCAAATTTAAGATAGGGGCTAGAATAAGAAGACCACAATTATACAGTAGTAGTGTCAGCCAAACTTGGAATGATTCAATATTCTGCAACTGGCACAAAAATAGAATTCCACATAGTTAAATATAAGATCGGGTTCGAATCATAAGACAACACAATTTGCTTGTGTCTTTGAGTCTTTGTCTCTCGCCACATAGAAAAAATTAGTACTATGAAAGGCTGGGATGGAAGTGTTACCATGTTGAATGCATTTAATATTAAATGCTGAATTCTATCCATTCATATGAGTGATATATTCTCCATGGGGAGCATGGTTATGATCGCTACTGTTACTAATGACAAGAGTGGGAAGTAATGTATTTCGGATGAAGTTAATTTAATAAATATCAATAACACAAACCAGCAGTACAGTCTCTCATAAATGTTAACAACTGACCAAGTATTATTTAGGCCAAATAAAAATAAAAAGTAGTTTCTCATCCCAACATTTTGAAAAAAAAAGAGGGCATTTTTTTTACTCCAAGATGGCACACATTGAAAACAAAAGAAGCACTACTGATGTTAGCCAGATTTTTGTACATTTTGTAAAATATAGGAAATAAAAAAAATAAAAAAAATTGGTGAGGCAGAGAAAATAGACGTGCAAGGGGACGAGAAACTAGTAATTATTTTTATTTGGCCTTACAGTATAATAATATTTTTTTGTATGTCAAAGATGTTTTACAGCCCATGAAAACAATAAGTAATATATATATATATAACTAAGTATATAAATAAATAAAAGTAAATAAATAATTAATCATAGACTATTAATACTGTATACCAGAAAATTTAGTAAACAACTAAGCCATAAACTTAACCACACAATAAATTATTATTAGATATTTCCAGTAATGAAATAAAATATGGTAGTACCATATCAATCAATCAATCAATCAATCAATCAATCATTCAATCAAAATAATTTATACAGCACCAGTGTCCATAAAAAAGTTCAAAGGTGCTTTGACAATACAATACTCTATATATCACATTAAAAATGTTCTTAATGGTAGATACATATTAGATTGCAGTTACTAAGATTTGAGACAAAAATACCATGAAATATTAATTGAAAAATTATAATAAAATTGTTGGCCCCTGACATTGTCTATGGTGGTGTCACAAATACTGATGAGGTGACTGAGATGCTTAAACAAGACACACATGTATTTAAAACTATATAAAAGATTTAAGAAAATGCTTTATAGCAGTTTATTTCCTCATTCAATATAATCCATTGCTTTACATTTATATGGATGATTTGCAGATCACTTGACCCTGTTCATCAACTGTATATGCTTAGATTCAGAGTGTCAAACCTGGAAGACATTTTCTCGATCAAAAGGATGAGAAGCTTATAACATCATAAAAGTGAAAATGAAATTACCTTTGAAATTTGGAGCGGAGTATTGAAGTCTTTCCCACCGGCTAGCCGGAATCCCCACGGACCGGGGCCCTGTATTGTCACTTGAAGTGCTCGATCCATATCGAATCCAGGAGAAATCAAGCCTGCCGATCCTTCTCCACTGAAAAGGAAGAGAGAAGAGGCGTTGAAGGGAGGCCAGCTACAAACAGACTACCACACCATAAATGACTCCTTGGTATGCCAAGAATGTGTACAGGAAGTGGGTCTCAAGAAGCTTCCCTAGCTTGCTGAAAAAACAATGAATAGGGAAGACCTAAAAAAATTAGCACTTGGTATCAATAGAGTATTGTGTGGCTGTCTCATTAATTGAATGAAACCGGTTTGTACATAACTTTGGGATCTATAAACAAGAAGTGTTTATGAATGAACACCTTGACTACAATACATGCACTGGAAGGATATACATGGTGACTCACACTGTCTTGAATAGAAAAGCTAAAAAAAATTCCAACCTACCGGCCTATTGTTAGTCCTTAAAACAGTTCAATAAAGTATGGATGTACCATGGAGAAATACAGATTTGTTGGGCTAGTGTACTCACTTGTCGACTTGAAAAAAACTGATGAACTCGTTTCAAAGCTGTCACTGAAGAAATAATAAGTAGAATTGTTCTTTACTGGAAGTGTTTGCGTTTCATCATTTTCTACTCTAAACTGAAAATTCGAATTTGTTTTTGTACATAGCAAGCTTAATACTCATCTACAGTTTGACTGCCAGTATTTATAGCAGACCATGCAATACATATTTGGAATTTAAGTCATGAGACATTTTTAGCATCATGTAATCATGTAAATCAAGAGAAAATAGCAGAGTTCAGTATTATTAAAACGCATGCTTTAATTTACATTAAAAATAAATCTGTAGATTTATGTCTGATTTAGTCAATTCTGACATTTGGTACATGCTGAAAATTTACAATGTCTGTTTTAACCAATTTATGGAATTTTAAATCAAACTACAGTATGTATATATATGTATCTTGTAATCCAATTGCAGTGTCTAGTTCAAGATCAATGCATGATGCATATTTATTAAGTGATAAAGTAACTTTTTTCATAGATTAATGGCAAGTTATTGAGAATAATTTTTATAAGCACTGATTTCCTAAGATTCATAATGTCACATGCTATTTATACATAGGAAGCGGGTACTTAGAGTACCCTCTCAGTGGCGGCGCCAGCGTGGGGGTCAAGCCCCCCCCCCACCGGACAGAGCTTGTCGGGCAGTCAGACCATAAAACATATAAAAGTAGGCCCACACCAAGCCAACACATGTCTGTCACAGTCTGAGAGTGGCATTTTCGGCCATCCAGATGTTAATATTCTTTAAAAAAATCTCATTTGGGTGGGGGAACCCCCTCTCAACCCCTTCCTCTTGCTTGAGCCTACGAGCTCAAGTCCCCGTCGGACAACTTAGCCCCCCAGAAAATATGTCCTAGAGCCGCCACTGTACCCCCTCACCTGATGTTTGGTTTTGACAAAAGATTTTATTATTTAGCTAAAGTAAAAAGCCTAGCTATTTACTAGTGACAGCCCCCCATCTCCTTCCCTGTGAACTTTAGACCCAGCAACCTATTGATACAAGCCAATACTGCTTAGAGACAGCATTTCCAATTGGACTACTATATACATGATAGATAAAAAAAAAACATGAAGGCATACAACTTGTTGAGCTTTACACTACAGTACAGTATGTTTACTGAATGACTAAGAACAACCACATTAATGTGTCTAATACCTCCACACAAGAGGTGACTAAAAGTAAACACTTTTGTATGATGTGATCCAGCTAAAATACTGTGCCACACAACTATTAATCGTCCTGTTATTACCTTAGAACATTGATTTTTGGATCATTAAGTGGCTCTAGGAGCATATTTAGCATTTTTTGCATGGGGGTAGTTTTCAAAATTTACTACCAGCCAAACATTATTTGCATATTCCATTATAAAAACAGTAAAACAAGCTTGTAATACATTTAATTAAAACTTAATTAAAATTAATTTAATACTCCTGTGTTCACATCAAATCTCAGAGAGAGTCACAGTTGCTTTGTGTATTCATGCCCTTGTCAATTTGTGAATTAACAGGGCTAATCCCAAGGACTAGTGAATTTCCAATGGTTTTCCCATGGAGCCTCTGGAGGAATACTCTCCAATAAAATCATGTTCATAGCAAACAACTGGAACACAATAAATCATTCCTTTATTTTTCCTTTAAAACAACTTTCCTAAGTCCCCAAAGACTTTGTCATGACCTTGTGAAAGGACACTAGGTTGTGTTTCTACTGATAAACACAAAATAATCAATTTTTTAAATTGCTTTTTTAATGAGTGCCCAGACAGCCTGCCCACGCTGCAAAGTCTGCATATTTGCTTTTACGAAAAACGAGTTTTTTTCGAAATTATGTCACCAATTTGTTTATAAAACATGTTTCCCAAAATGTATAGTTTCTTTCTCACTAACAAGACAATATAGTTCATGTGAATTCTGGTCTTGACGAGGAGGATACGGTGTGCGACGGGAAGGTGTATGCTTCGGCTGTGTTCATCGCAGGGTCTGCGGAATGTTTTTCAAAGTGGGGGGCCCCCACTTATAAGCAGGCGCGTAACAGGGGTCTTGGCTCGGGTGGGGGGTGCAAAGGTAATAATTTTCCCGGTTATAATTTATGACTTGGTGTGATACCCCCCCCCCCATATAGAAAACAATACGGCATGGCTTATTTTAATATTAATATAGGGCACACGTGTGTGTTTGGAACTAAATATAAGCATTTTCATCGTGGTTTTATTTATTACAATTCATAGGCCTATTCTTTCACCATCATTACACATT